ACACTCTGTTGGGTCACCTTTCTTTGGAATGGGAACAAATATAGATCTCTTCCAGTCAGTTGGCCAAGTGGTTGTTCTCCAGATTTCTTAACACAACTTGGTGAGCATGTCCAGGGCAGCATTTGTTAGCTGAAATATGTCAATTGGTATACCATCTATTCCTGGGGCCTTATTTTTGGTTATTTCCTTCAAAGCAGCTTGAACTTCTTCACCATAGGCTCTTGCTCATATGTTGTTTCATGAAAATCTTCTGTGTCTTCCAATTCCTTTCGATACAGTGACTCAATATATTCTTTCCATCTTCTTTTAATACTTCCTGGATTGATCAATACTCAGCCTAAAGCAACCTTGATTATTGGGTCTTCTATTTCTGGGGGTGAAAAAAAGACATGGGATTTTGTTGGAGAATCAGTAGTTCACTTGAGTTGTAAGAATATTAAAGTCTCCCAGTATATATACAGAAAAACTCTGTTTGCTTAGTGGTAAAGAATTGGGCTGCCAACTTGAACATACGTGGTTCAGATCCACTGGTTGCTCTGAGGGAGAAAGTTGGGCAGTTTGCTCCCATGCGATTTATTTCCTCTGAAAACCCAGCAAAGAATCAGCTACAGTTTCAACTCAACAGTACACAGCAACAACAAATTTATACACATGAATGCCTGTTGGTTGATTGTTCATGTGTTTACATGCAAGTGTTAGAAATAGAAATGAAAATGTATTTTAATGCTCTTATTAAAATTACATAGGTAAGTTCAATAGGTTAAAAAAATTGAAGGGTGTTGTGAAGGAATTACAGCATTGGTTGGGAAGTTTTTCTTTTAGTAGTAGTCTAGAAGCTGAAATTGGTGTTAGAGTGTAGTTACTCCTTTTTTGCTTACTTGAAATAAAATTAAATTTATAGTCTAATTACTTGAAATAAAATTAAATTTATAGTCTAATTTCTGGAAGACATTAAATTTAGTTCTGTATATCCACAGAGATTGATTTGATTACATAAAACTAAATGAGAATTAATGTCTTCATTATTCACCTTACTCTCAATATTTTCTTGTTAGGAAAAATAACACTGTATGTTGTAAATGCATTTTTAAGCTCAAGACTACTTCTTTTCCTCAAGGAGGAAATTTTCCATTTTTAACAGGTTGCATCTTGCCAATTGTATATACAACTCTCTGGGGAGGTTTTTTTTGGGGGGGGGTTATTGTTGATTTGTGTTTTATTTGGTTGGTTTTTTTACAACTCTGTTAATGGAACATGATTTATTTTTCCTTCTCTGATAGGTTTCCACCTTACATGAGTTCCGGATTTTCCAGTTTTTACATTAGTAACAAACTCGCTCTAAGGAACAAGTCTCTAACTCTTGCAGGTGCTCAACACTGAGTGCACAATCTTAGTGTCAAGCTGTTCTAGCATCTTGCAGATGTTCTTACATCTTAGTATTTAATGATCGTCTCATTAACAGTAACAAAATGCAGCAAATTTTAAATAATTTTAAATTTTTAAATAACTCCTGGTAATTTGAGAAAGAAAGATTCTAATTTATTTTCCTACTTCTTTTTCCTAAACTGAATATTTATTGAAGAGCCAAATGTACAAATACTTTTGTACTAATACAGTGAGAGGGAAGCTCAGCTGGCTTAGTTATAAGAAGCTGTGAGTTACGTGGTTTAAATCCATCAGCTGCTCAAAGGAGAAAGATGAGTAATCGCCTATACAATTTAAAGCCCCTGAAAACCCACTGGTGTGTTAGCCATGATATGATTCCAACTCGATGGCACACAACAACAATAAAAATAGAGTGAAACATCTGTGTGCCAAACGACTGGAAAGTTGGATGAGTAGTATCATCTCTATCCTTGATCCATATGCCAGTGAATGCTGCTTTCTTTTCAGTGCGGACAGTCGAGTAAAATTATGGGATGTAAGAAGAGCGTCAGGATGTCTGATTACTCTTGATCAACATAATGGGAAAAAGTCACAAGCTGTTGAATCAGGTAAAGAGTGCATTCATTTAGAAAAGTGGCAAAAATACATCACTTCTTTAAATGAAAAGTAAATAATAAATTTCTATTGAAAAGTTGAAATACTTTATGATTTTTAAAGTATTCACAATAAATTGATTTCTAAATTTACATAAGCTAACTTGTCTTTCTTCGACATGTTCTAATAATGTAACTTTTTTTTTTTTGCCAAATTAACAAAGTTTATTACGAGTTCGAACCCGGGCTCCTGTGCGCAGCAGCATCCAGCCGAGAGCCTAATAATAGTAACTTTTGTAGGCATATTAGCAAAATAAGAGTTCATTGCAATCCAGGTGATAAGTACCTTAATTACATTTTTATAACAGAATTTCATTTTCTATTAAAATTTTTATTTACATAATTATGTATCAAAAACCATGATTGTTTTGGTAATCTTTTTTTATTAAGTGAGTCAGACCATTTAGAATTATGCTTTCTCAGATTTCTTCCTTTTTACAGAGATAAATACTGATTGAAACTAATATAGCCATACTTTCCTTGTTGGAGCTTCTTTTTATCTTCCCTTTAAGTGATGAGAAGTATTTAAGATCTTAGTGTTAAGCTGTTCCTTTAATTGACTTTCATAGCATAGATAACTCTCTAAAGAGAAATTCTCATACTTGACAGAATTTTTGTTCTTTTGGTTTTCCTATTTTCCTCTCTTTTAATGGTTCTACAAATAAATGCAAAGGGACTGTTTAATTTTAAACATAATCAACTAATTTTTTTTTTATTATTTTTGTGTGTATGTACTGGTACAGGACGAGATTGTCCCTCCTTCCCCAGCAGAGCATCTGGTGGATTCACACTGCACACCTCTGGGATTGCAGTGCAGCTTCTTGCCACTAAACCACCAGAGCTTGCCAATAATCAACTAAAATTTGAGTTGTGTTCTTTAATATCTTTAGATAGTTGTATCATCAGTTATTAAACTTGCTGAATATAGGAACAGATAAAATGAACTATGTTTTTTATTGCAGCAAACACAGCCCACAATGGAAAAGTCAATGGCTTATGTTATACAAGTGATGGGCTTCATCTCCTCACGGTTGGTACGGATAACCGAATGAGGCTCTGGAATAGTGCCAGTGGAGAAAACACACTGGTAAGAGATTTTAAGTACCTACAGCCTTTGACATAAATGAAAGAAATGGTATCTTTCTGTAGATTGCTTCCTTTGAAACACAGGCCTTTGAGTTTATTTGTTTGTTTGTTTACAGTTTAGATGCCAAATACTGTGATCATAGCTTACTATGACAAAACAATCATAAGAAACTATGGCTAACATTTAACAGAATGAGAATATACTCCTATGAAACCTGGACCAAGACCAAAAAGCTGTTGTCTGAATGGAACAAGGGAACCCTACATGGTAAAGGTGTATGTCAGGGTTGTATCCTTTTTTCATACTTATTCAGTCTGTATACTGAGCAAATCATTTGAGAAGCTAGGCTCTACAAAGAAGAAAGGCATCAGAATAAGAGGAAGATTCGTCAACAGTCTGTGTTATTGCAGATGATACAGCCTTGCTTGCTGAAAGCGAGGAAGACTTAAAATGTTTGCTACAGAAGATCATGGACTAGAGCCTTCAAGATGGAGTGCATCTCAACATCAAGAAGACAAAAATCTTTACCACTAGACTGATTGTGATAGATAGAGAAAAGATTGAAATTGCCAGTGATGTCATCCTACTTACATCATAGTCAACACCCTTGGTTCCAGCAGTTAGGAAATCAGGAGACACTTTTCATTGTGGAAGGTCACTGTGACTAACCTTGCCAAATTACTGAGGAGCAATGATGTCAGTTGGAAGATTCAGGTATACTTTATGTAGGCCATAGTCTTTTCAGTCAGTTGCTTTACAACTGGACATTGAACATGATGACAGAGAAGAATTAATGCTTTTGAGTCATAGTGTCTTAGAGGAGTGCTGATTGCCTGTGGACTGCCAAAAGAACAAACAGGTATATCTTGGAGAAAGTGCAACCAGTGTACTCCTTGCAGACAGTGATAGTGAAGCTTCATCTCGCATATTTGGACATGTTGTTAGGAGGGCCTGTTCCTCTGAAAGGGACAGCATGCTAGGAACGGTAGAAGATCATTGAAGGAGAGGAGACCCTCAACAGGATGGACTGACACAGTGACTGCAGCATTCGGCTCAAGTCTATCAGAGATGATGATGATAGCACATGACAGGGTGTAGATCTGATCTTCATAAAGTCACTCAACAACACCGAACAACAACATGCAAATAAAAATGAATCAATACATGTGCTGGAACAAGTATTGTCTAGTTTAATCATTTCACAAACACTGTGAAAGTGGTTACTATTTTATGTATTTTACCCATTTTTACCATTTCTATTTTTTATTGTTTTACCATTATAACCATTTTACACATGAAGGAAATGAGACAACATAGTTTGGTAACTAACGTACATTTACACTGCTTAGAAAGCAACAGTTTGATTCTAGTCTCTGTTATTACAATGCTGATCAAACCCAAACTCCTTAGTTAATTTATTGATGTATTAATTGTATTTCCTAGTAAATTATCCTTCATATGCTCTAGGTATCGTGTTCATTATTACTAATTTAAGGCCAAAAGTGTTTACATCTAGATTACTTTAAAAATCTGACATAGCTCCTAGGGAGTTGCGCTGCTAGCCCCAGAGCAGTGCCTTTCTCCTGGCTCAAATCCACCAGTAATTCCACGGGGAAAGATGGACAGTCTCTTTTCCGTGCAATTGACACAACTTTGGGAAACTTCCTGGAAGGTCAGCTGTGAATCAGTTCAGACTCATTGACAGTGAGTTTTGAGTATCTTCATGAGATATTTTACCAGCTTATTTCAGGCTCGAAACGCAGATATTGTGAATTTTTGTTTAGTACATGAGTTTATTTAGTACAGAAGTCCAGGCTGGGTTCAGAAGGGGTCATGGTACTAGGGATATTGTAGCTGATGTTAGATGAATCTTGGCTGAAAGCAAGGAATACCAGAGGAATGTCTATCTGTGTTTCATTGACTATGCAAAGGCATTTGACTGTGTAGATTATAACAAACTGTGGCTGACTCTGAGAAGAATGGGAATCCCAGAACACTTGATTGTTCTAATGCGAAACTTACACTTGGACCAGGAGGCAGTCGTCAGAACAGAGCAAGGGAACTGCACGGTTCAAAATTGGGAAGGGCATACTCCAGGGATGCATCCTATCTCCATACCTTTTCAACCTATATGCGAACAGATTATCTGGGAGGCTGGGCTCTATGAGGAGAAATGTGGGGTAAAGATTGGTGGACGATTTATCAACAGTCTGCGTTATGCGGGTGACACAACCCTGCTTGCTGAAACTGAAGAGGACCTGAAGTGCCTGCTGCAGAGTGTCAAAGACTGCAGCCTACAATATGGATTGAGGCTCAATGTCAAGAAGACAAAGACTCTCACCACTGGACCAATTGGCAGCATCAGGATGGATGGTGAAGAGATTGAGATTGTACACAGCTTTAGTTTGCTTGGCTCCACAGTCAACAGTCTTGGCACCAGCAGCCAGGAAATTAAAAGGCACATTGCCATGGGAAAGTTTGCTGTTAGGGACCTCTCCAAAGTACTGAAGAGCAATGGTGTCTCTCTGGAGACTAAGGTGCGTCTGATACAGGCCATGGTCTTCGCAGTCACTTGTTATACATCAGAGAGTGGGACAGTGACCAAGGAGGATAGAAGGAGAATTGATGCCTTTGAGCTGTGGTGCTGGAGAAGAGTATTGAGAATACCATGGACTGCTAGGAAAACAAACAGATTTGTCCTGGAAAGGGTTAAACCGGGTGGCTCCTTGGAGGCAAGGATTCTGAGGCTCCGTCTAACATACTTTGGACATGTTGTGAGGAGAGACCGGTCCTTAGAGAGGGACATCATGCTTGGGAGGGTGGAGGGACAGCGCAGGAGAGGAAGGCCCTCTATGAGGTGGATTGATTCAGTGACTGGGATAATTGGGATGGGAGTGTCAGAGACAGTGCGATTGGCACAGGACAGAGCAGAGTTTAGGGCTGTCATAAGGTCGCTATGAACAACAACAAACATGAGTTTGACAATAACAGCACAGTGGGTTACAATTTAGAACCTTCCTCATTATCTTGTACCATATCCTTGATCAGATCACACTTTCCTTTCCTTGACTTACTGAGCTTATTTTCTGTTTGCCTAGTGTCACAGGATTAAACACTTGGCTGCTAACTGAAAGATCTCTAGTCTGAGCCTGCCCACTACTACATAGAAGAAAAGACTTATGCTGTGTTCCCACACAGATTGTAACCCAGAAAATCCTAGAGGGTGGCCCAACTCTGTCAGAGAGTGTCACAATGAGTGGAAATCAGTGCCCAACAATGACAGTATTTGGCAGGATTTTAAAAAAAGAGCAAAACACATTAAAAGCTTTGTGTACGCAGAGCTTACATTTTTTAGGGAAGAGGAGAAAGGTATAAATAGATCAATCAGTGATTGGTGTTAGATGGGGAGAGTGTTACAGAGAGAAGCAAGGAAAGGAACATAGTCCATACTGGAAGTCGGGAATCAGGATATGCTTTGCCGAATAGATGGCATTTGCCTGAAGGAAATGGAAATAGTATTTAAAAATAAAGATAAAAGCGCAAGCACTTTGAGGCACAAGCATATTTGAGATATTGTGGGTACAGGAAGAGAGGCTCTTGTGGTAGAATGAGCAGGTGAGAAATGAAGACATAGAATGCCTGAACATACGAGAAGAACCTTTGTAAGGTTTTACGTTTCCACTCTGAGAAGGAAAACTACTGAAAGTTTTAAGTAGAAAAATAACAGGTCACTAGAAAAGAAGCTTAGCATGTGTGTTAAAGAGTAATAAGATGATAAAATTATGTGGATACGTAAATTGATGCCGTTTCATCCATATTTTTCTTGTTGATAGGGATTTGAATTCTTGCTCATAGGTCCATATCAAGTCTTAAGTCCATAAGTAGTCATGGATAATACATCCTAAAATGAAATTGACCTGATAAATCAGATAGTAAAGAGCCCAGAACTTCACAGAGAGCAGCATGTAAAGGGTTTTAGGATGTTTATCCCCAGAAAAGGTAACTCTAGAGAGAAACACAAAAACAGTCTTCATATACTTAAAGGGAATTCAAAATAGGAAACACATTCCAGGCCCACTGTTTAATAATTTGGGCCCTTTAGCCAATATTGAAGGAGCATGAAATACTAAGATCTCTATCTCAGTTGTATCATAATTTAGAATTATCCTCTGCTTAAAAATAGGGAATAATAGAAGTGTGTAAAGAGTGTTACTTGACCTGCAAAAACTCATAGACATACCATAATTGGTAGCTATTTTATTGCTTAGTATTGACGTATTAAAACACACAAACAAAAAGTCCCAAAAAAAGTTACTTTTGAGTTTATTGCAATTCTGAGAAATCCATGTATGTCAAAGTAGAGCTGTACGCCTTAATAAAGTTTTCAGTGACTGACATTTTGAAACAAGATCACCAGACATTTTTCCTAGACACCTTAGGATGGACTCGAACTTCCAGCCATTCACTTAGCAGCCTAGAGCATTAACTATACCATCCAAGGATTCTGCTGAACTACTTCCAAAACCCAGACCATTGGCATTGAGCCAATGAGTGCTCATAGCAAGTCTCCATCCAGCTTTGAAAGATGTAAATCTCTATGAGCAGAGACTTCCCATCTTCCTCCCATAGCACTGCTGGTTAATTGAAACTGCTGATTTTCACATAGTAGCACATGTAATGTACTGTGCCACCAGAACTCCTTACCTAGAGGTCTGCAGATGCACCATGATCTCGCACCCGCTTCTTTCTGCTGTAGAGTGCTGTCTTTGCTTTAGAATACCCTTCCAATTCTTGACTTAGCTGCTTCTTAGCTTGCAAAATTCATCAAAAGCATGGTCTCTCTTTAACATATCCAGCCCAGCATAGATACAGGATATACTGTACTCACATATTTTACCGTGACTGTGATCATCAGAGATCTGGACAATGACTAAAGATGACAGAAGAAGAATTGATGCCTTTGAGTTGTGGTGCTGGAGAAGAGTATATACCATGAACAG